TGATATGTTTACAAAGACTAGAATAACATCGGTTTCTAAAAAAACAAATTCAGTAATGGTGATCCATTTGAATCTAGTTACCCATTCCGTAAAATGTTTGGGTTTATTAATTCTCAATGTTTCCAAATGATTCAGCTATATACTTTTATTTTCTATGTGCAAAATTTTTAAATGTCTGACAAAGATATGATTTTCTTACGAAAGGTGATCTGAATATATTTAACTTGTTCTCTTATTTAGAATACTCATATGATGTTCTTGGATGCGATTCCTGAATCTTCTGCCAGTTTGACCGATATATACGTCAGGACAAATTCCAAAATTCAATTTATATACTCGTGATTTCTTGAGTTTGGACGTTTTGACTTCATTATTTTTAACTAACTTTACCAATTTCAATATATGTTTATCCAGAAATTGAGCCATTTTTTCTGTTGTTTGTCCAAAATATGTTGAAGCTCTATAATTTTGATTTTGATTATCTAACTTATCAATAGTAAAAACGTCCCGAATCGCTTTTGCGTAGACTTAGTTAATTCAGCTTAAAGCCGATGTTTACTGCAATTTGATTCATGTTATTGAGTTCTTTATTCAAATTACCTATTCAAAGAGGAACATCGACTAATCTATGAATCAAGTTATTATAAAATGCTATTTTGTGTTGATACGGATGGGTAGAATCGCAATGAATATCCATTTTGTATGGTTTGTGATAAAATTATGCTTGTTGTTCATTCTACTAATGTCAAGTCCAAGAAATCCATTGAGTTTGAATAGTCTGCTTCTAGTTCAACAGTGAATTTGATGTTTTCATGAATTTTGTCAATATTTCTATAAAAAATATCTAATTGTCCTTGTTTGAAGTGGTTGACCAAGTTTCATGGTGAATCTCATTAGTTCGGACTTCCATTGTCTACTATGATACAAAATGATTCTTTCAGGGATTTTAAATCATTTTATTTATATCATACTCAATGTAAGTCCGAACTAATGAATTAATGAGTAAAATGAGCAAAGAAATTTCCTTTCAGTTAATAATGTTCAATGGACTTTTTTCAAAGGGGGAATACCAAGAATAACATAGTTTTTTCGGAAGCAAAATCAACAGGTGATCTCTTTCCGAATTCAACCATTTTTGGAATAATGGAATCAAGAAACAGGTGCCTGATTTTTTGAGGCTTGGAAATGCGCTTTTTGTTTTTTTTCCTTGTAGTTCTTCAACTTCTATAAATATTGTTCCTTATATGTAGCTATCAATAGTTCAGTCACAAATGATAATACTAGTATTCTTCAAGGATACATATTTTCTCCAACACTTCCAATGTTTAAAAACGTTCTATAAAGTCAACTGTTCTTTATGTATATCAAAATGTTGATGACCAAACAACACCAAAAGATTTTATTATCAAAAAACGATCTGAAGAAACTTTTTGGGTCTTAGTTTTCTCTCAGAAGCTAGTTATGGCAAAACTGAACATAACAATATCTAGATAGGTAAGGCTGCTGGAGGCATCTATCAATTTGTGTGTTATGAACAATATTTTGAAATAAACAGATATACACACGAATATTACTGGAGTGTTTCCCAACACCAAACCGTTATTTTAACACCTCGACACGAGTTTCGATTACCAAGTGATCATCTTCAGTTGGATCTTACTCTTGAAGATGATCACTTGGTAATCGAAACACGTGTCGAGGTGTTGAAATAACGGTTTGGTGTTGGGAAAAACTCCAGTAATATTCATTACTACACCAAAGGTTTCAAACATGTCATCACAAGTAGATATACACACCTCAGAAAATTTCAATGCTTCAGAGTGTCTGTGGAATTTGCCCACATACATGAGGTTTAGCCTCTGAGCGTAACCTGTGGCTGCTAGATTCTATCCAGAAAGCTTTCATTTATTGTTTATGTTCCGTTGGGAACGAAAACTGACGCTTGGGTTTAATTATTATTGAATTTGGGACTGTGACCCCAATTTATCCTTGGGTTAGATGCTGTTTAGGTTAAATTTACAAATTTTTTCCTGAATAGTTATTTGGATGCAAAATACACTAAGTATAACTTTAGTAGTCTCGTATTATTTCAGAATTGATAGGCATATGAATGGTTGAATGATGCATTACTCGATATAAATTATTCTCAGTGGTAACACCACATTCAGAAAATATTCCTAGTACTGGTGGGTGGAATATTCTTGAAAAATTTGATATTAACAAAAATTCTCTACTAATCTGGATTTATCTATTTTTAAGATCGTTGAAGTTTGAAAACATAAAATGCCAAGAAATGCAAACCAGCTTTTAATATTCAATCAGTTCTCCCGATATCTGTCATTAATGATTTTATTCTCGAGAAACGTTTAAAAATGTCAACGTACTTGCAGAAAGGTATTTCGTGGTTCGTCGCGCATATTAAATAATGTTATCGAATGTATCTCACTTCCTTCTTACTTTCAGCTACACAACTTACACAACAAATCTGAAGACGGTACCGAACTAAAGTCGTCCATTTACACACAACGGAAGTTCACAGAACGGCAAGTTGGGTTCCTGAAGACATATAAGCCTCAATCTCTTGCCAATTAGCTTCTTTGTATTTTATCTCAGAATGTTGGAAGGTAATCTAAAAGAAATTGTCTGTGTGTATGATGCATTCTCATTTTTTGTTAGTGTTGCAGACTTTTTACCACTGGTACTCAATCATTTGCTGACTAATTCTCAACTCATTACTCTATCTTAATGGGTTTTTTAGCCAAGTTAGAGCCAGAATCTTATTTAATTCCAACTGTTTTCCTACGCTCCCAAGCAATAAAAAGGTTTTTCTTTCACACTTTCTTACATTTTCTGACATGTTGATTCATCTTCATCTCGTAGATTATCCTATGAAATGATCCATCAGCATGTGTTGTGATACTTGTGAAATAAATTATAACGACAAATTATTACGATGGATTGATGCATTTTCATTTCGTCCGATCCGTTTCACTTTTTGTCATCTTGGGAGTGAATTTCTAATCACGTTGATATCAGTTCCTGACTATTTTGCTGGACCAGTTTCATTAACGTTTAAATATTCTGCTCAGAAGTTCATTTGTTCTAGTATCATGACTTTAGCAGAGTTTCTTCTTGAGAATTGGAGTTAATGATATTTTGAAGTATGTTTACCATGGAAAGTGTTCTCTATCATTTCGCACTTTAGCACAGGCATCGCTTTTGGAGCGCTTTGTTGAATTTCCTGTAGTGCTGTAGTGTTTTGCCCTTGAGAAAATGTTAAATAGCGTTTTAGTTATATGACGTATCCAAGAAACACTTCATTGTGATATTTTCATTGAATAGTTGTTTAGTGTTATTGTGTATATACATGCCTGAATAAGCTATTTCATAACGAAACACGTGTTGCGTTTTTGTAAAACTGTTTAGTGAAAATCTCACAATAAAGGGTTTCTTGAAGCTTTTTACTTGTTTTTTTGCTGATATGCAGTCTGTTATTTTCAGTGACAACTTTAGTTTCATTAAATGTTATTTTCTGACCTCGTATATCGAATAATTCATCATCAGTGACATAATAAGAGTCATTGTGTTTGTTTTGATTCTGATAATGTTTTCCATTGGATGTAACAGGGCCAAAATTAAGTTGTCTAAAAATATTGATAGATTCGAAAGATAGACGTGGAGGAATAACACAGAAATATTCCTCAGAGTTGGTATAAAAATGAGGTGGAGAAGATATTGAAAATTTCAATATGAAATGAAATTTTACAAATACAATAGCTAATATAGGGAAGAATCAAATGGTGGCGACTTGAAATATACACCAAGCAATTATACGATAGAAAATTGCGGTGCCAAATATTATAAATAATGAATATAAACATTTTCAAAACAACAAAATATTATAACCATTTTGACTGTCATCACTCAAGCCTTAATCAATGTTCACTTGAAATGTTCAGAGGTTTAGGATATTTCTCAAATTACTTTAAGATTGAACTCCTGAGTTGAGTTTGATATACGTATACTATTTACCGCTTTTATTATTGAAAATCAAGTTTAGCCAAGATAGGCATATTTTATCATATAACCTAGAAAATCTTCATCGTCTTGATTTAGTACCAATTGCGTCGTGCTTTCACCAATTGTTACTTTTCTGGGCTTATGAACAAGTAGATCGATTTTCGGTAGAATTTAAATCAACTCATTACTTCAATAAAATTATGAATGGTCGGACCCGTTACTAGAATTTTAAAAAAATGTTTAATTTCCAGCAAATACTTCAATGAAATGTGAAACTGAAATCTTGGCGTGAAATAAATCCAAAAAAATTATTTTTTCCATTCACCAGAAATGCAAAACTTTTTTCGACGCGCTTTTCACCAACCAAGTTGACGACTTCGGAGATGAAGAAAACATTAATTTAGATTAGGAGTGGCATTTTCAACGAAAATTTGAAAATACCAACACCTACTTCATTGAAATACTATACAACTCTTTTCTTGTTTCTAGATATACAGGAAAAGTATAAAAATATGAGGTTTTTAGAAATATATTATAATAGGTTATAATAATTATTCGATGGTTTGTACATTACTTTTGTGAAGAAAACTTCAATTTTTGGTTTTATCTTTCAAATTTTCACTATGCTATTTTTAAATTTCCTGTCCTGGTCACTCCAAACTTCAGATCAGTAATCCAAGCAATACTTCAACCGTAACACTCGTGATTGTAGTGTAGCAAATACTCTTTATGTTGCAGGTTCTCCTTTCAATTCCTATTTTATATTTTAAAATGTATTCTTTGTTCTTCTGTCACATCACTTTCATGCAAAATAAACTCACAAATAGCATACATCAAGTGCACTAACATTGAAGTGGAAAAGCTTCATTTTATAGAGAATGGTCGGCTTTAAGAACCCAACTGAAATACCCAGTAGGTAAATGCAAATACAAATGACGTCAGATTGGATTTTATCTTGCTTGATTGCGATTTTATAATTATATTGTCACTCAGTACGTTTTTAGTTCGCTACAAACCAGGTACTTGTAAGTTGTGTTGAAGAGACCGCTGATGAAACAATTCACAATAAGTTTTTGAATAATGATCTTCCTTTATAATGAAATCAGCGTCTATATTTAGCGCCATATTTGATCTCTGCACTTCTTTGATATTGTTTTTTTTTTCATTCCAGAAAGATGATGTGGTTGAATGATTCCAAAGCGCACGTGCTCGATGATTCTGACTTGGACAGTGTTAGTAGTGGTGAAGAACTACCCATTTGGGTTCGAGGAGAGCAGCGATGGGTTTCGGGAATATCTGAAGAAACAACCTGCCAGGACGTAGTTCGAGTTTTATTACAAGATGAGGAGAGGCGAGTAAGTGAAAGATTTAAACTGGAATCGACCTAATTCCAAATTGAAGTTAGTTAGTTGACATTCGTATTTTCATCATTTCAATTCAATGAATCAAAGTCAGAATTAAATTCGTGTAATTGTTGACTCGTTTATTTTGTGGAAATTCGTGATCACTTTATTGAAATGAATGAAAGGACTTTCGTCTAATATCCACTAGTTATTTTATTTTCAAGACCGGTTTCGGATTTCAGTTTCTAGCAGATATTTTAATGGACACACTAAAAACTACCCTCATCCCTAATAACCCCGTTTCTCAGGAATATATTCTGTTTTGGTTCACATGACGTACTGGTGGTTTTTGATGGTTCAAGCAGACAAATCAATCAATTTTTAAACTTCTTCAATAGTCTGCATAACAAAATCAAATTCAAAGTAGAAATCGAACAAACAAGGAGCTCAACTTTTTATATTTGCATATTTCCACGATTAATAATGGTTTTCAATTTATAATCTACTGGAAAAACAACTTCAGAGACTGTAGACTTCCCTTTGATTCTTTCAGTCCAATCTCACATAAATCATCCATCTTCAGGTCGATAATACACAGTGCGTTCACAATACCTTCACCTGAAAAGAACTTCCATGGTGAACTAAAAATAATTGAATAAATTACGGTTAACAATCAATGAAAACTCAAATTTCCAACATGAGAAATGACTTTCATTCGATATTTCATAATATTGTTTTATTCATCTGAATATTGATGGCTAATCATGAAAAAAAATTATTGAGTCATCTTTATTGAAAGCTGATGAATCAATTGATCAATTGGTCTGATTCAATCTCAAAATCACTTTCATGCAGAAATCAAGTCTCAGTGCTCTTAATATAGTTTCGAAATTTTTTGAATTCCACTCGATAGAGCATTGGGTATTTCATTAGGAATTTGGGCAGATCTTAATTATTATTCAATCGAAGTTTTTGGTGAATTTTAACGAATAGAATATTTCTGGTCAACGACACAATACATGTGTGTGTGTCAATGTCTCAATTTGAAGTTCAGCTAATTGATATACGAATGAAGAGAATGGAATTCCTACTCGTTTCATTGTGACAAATTCAATGTTCATACGAAAGTAGTTGTATCCTATACAGTGCGGACGGAGACACTTATAAGATTCTGCACTCTTCTAATCAATATTATTTCCAAATATTGTTACACTTTAGAACTATTTTTGCAATACTACGTATCAATTTTCAGTTGTGTCTACATAAGTTCGTGAAATTTGTCACGAATTGAGAAATGCGATGATACAATGTGATTACGCTTTTCAGTTGTTTCAAGCTTTCTAAACATAAAACAGGATGTAATATTCTGTAAATCGTAATGAAACTGACATTCATATTCCTGGATACCAGCAAATGATTGGCACAAATATCACCAGCTTACAAACCGGTACGGATAAATGTAATCACTCCACCCGTTGCATCAAGTGTTTTTTCGAAATCGCCAATTGAAAAATTTTAATTTGTATTTATCTCTTGAACGAGATGGGACTTATTTACATTCGCAGTGACTCGCTTCAACGAATACCTGTTCAAATCGATGAATTGCATGTTTACAGACTTCTCATTATCAAGAGCTACCTGTTTGGAACTTCTATTTCTTGACAACAGCTTTGTTCATTTTCTGAAACTGATTTTCCTCCAGGACTCTGGGCACTATAAAAATGAAAGTGTTAAAGTGAAAGATATGAAAGAATATTTGAATATCAATATGGAGATCAACATTCAAGTGTCTACCTACGTATTAGGTTGGTTGTTTTCTGCAATGAGGAATTTATTGTAACACGAAATAGAAATGAGTAGTACACCTAATAACTACTCAACAGTGCATTCATTCTAGCTAAACAGAACCACCCTGAACAAATCATTCAATTTTGAGACAAGTCAACATTCATTTTCAGGGGGGCATATCTTCACGTAAAAATGTCCTCAGCCACTCTCTTCCCATAATAATTCAAATGACGAAAATTTCAAATGGAAATAATGGTCTCGAAAGGCTTCAATTCTTTATTCGACCCTGTAATATTTTTGACACTACAACGATTAGCAATCTCAGAAAAACAAAAATACAAAAAGTTTATATTTAATTTTGACCTAGAGAGTCGAATTAACATAAAAATTCACTTCCTCAAATGTTCAAACTGAGCAACATTAACTTGCAAACTATGATAATAACAAGCTATTATTTTCTCACTTACGTTCTGCGTTAGTGGCACCTGGTGATTTATTTCCATAATTCAACTATTCATACAGTGAATGTCTGCGTTACATAGACTTTTGATTCTCGTAGAAAAAATCTAGTGGGATCAAATTGGGGGTTCTGGGAGGTCATTCTCAAAGCCCTCCCTTTCAATCCATTGAATCAGTAAGTTATATCGACCCCTTTCCACAATACGTAATCTAACTGGATGGCGTCGGTAATTGTTGGTATAACTTCATCATTTAGTAAACTGATATATCCTTCACTAGTTAGGTGCGCTTTCAAAAAGCATGGTCCTGTAATATGGTTACCCAAAATTTATGTCCAAACATTCAGTTTTTGAAATGATACGTGTGAATTTGACCAGACATTTGGAGATTCACTCCAGTATAGAAAATGTAGACGATTTACTGACCTAAAAACATGTGATGTACATCTAAAGTAGATCATGTTTGACACATTCCGAGAGAATTTCATAAAATTCGTTGAAGTTATCTCCGTTCAACTCATGAATTATTTTCATTTAGAGAGAATGGAGTTTTTTTTGATGAATAATTCTGAAAACATTTGTTCCACTCACTCCTGATGTTTGGATCAACTGGACAAAGTGGCCAAGAACTACAACACCAATGCCCGCTATAATCCTATTCCTGAATGGTCATTTTGTCTGTTATTAACGTTACCAGTTTTCATGAATGTATGTAACAATTCCAATACATATCAATGTCTCAGCATTCGACTGCATAAGGTATTCTATTCGGCTCTCAAAGTTGTTTGTATGATCAGATAATTTCCATTGGGTTGGGTATCAGATTTTTTCATCTTCAGAAAACAATAGTTTACTGTATGAGATGAGAAATATCGACCTGGGTATCCCACAAGGGTCGATTATGAGGCCGATTTAATGTATATATATATTTGACATAAATGACCTTAATCGTTTATCAACACCTGCATCATTCAATTTATACCGGATGACACTTAATTTCGTATCACATATAAGTCTGATGAATCACTGGCAAAAACAAGGATTTCGACAACTACATAGCTAGTACTCTGCTAATCAGTCATTCCTCATTGTTGAAAAAAACCAAATATATCAATTTCTATCTTCGTCAAAAACGATGTGACGATACTGTGTTTGAATTTGACAATGCAACACATGTTTTCATAGTTCTTTGTTTTGTTCAAATAATGTTTTTCCAAATTCAAAATGGCTGTTTTTTTCAGGGCAGACCGATCAGTGCATCACAAAGATACCAAATAACTGAAAGATGGCGGGGTGTGGAACAACCTTTGGATGAATCTTCAAGGATTTTGAATATTTGGAACGCCTGGGGAACAGCTCAATCAGAGGTAAATACTGAAATACCTATGAAATTGATTTGACCAAAGAATGATCTGATTGGAGGGACTGGTAATTTGTTTTTTTCAAAAATGCAGTTAAAGTTATTGAACAAATTATAATTATCATTAATATTACATACTTTACCTCTTAAGGCGGTGATCGGACTGTTTCGTAACATAGATCCTCAGAATGGCAATGCGTCAAGTATTTTACAATGAACTAGAGAGTGAACTTTCGACAACTTTTGGTTAAGGTTATATATCAAAACGTGTTATTGAAGTAAAATTGTCAGTTACTATTTTGAATTATTGAAAGAAGTTATTCAATTTGAATAAATAAACATATCATTCATTATTGAAGATTCCTCACGAAGGTAACATTGCAATAGAGATAGGTCATAATAGTGGTGACTTTGAAAAAAGGCGATTGGAGTAATTTTTTTATGTATGATGAATACAAAAACAAATAATTGCAATGAGATGGTGGATATAGAAGACATCCAAGAGTTCTTGAAAGACAAGGAGTGAAAAGAAGTTTATGAAAAAGTGTTGAAACAATCAGAGCAAAAAAGAAATCGACATTAGAATACCAAGAAGTCAAAGTGAAAGAGTATTTAGGAGAACAATCTCAGATGATTTCAACAGGAGTTTGAAAGAGAAGAAGAGCTAGAAGAGCAAGAACTCAAAAAAACAGGAAAGAAGAAAGGGAGTAGACAGAGGAACGTTGATGAATCGCTCAGAATGTTATAAGAAAATCGTGGACAGGATATACGAAAGCTGAATCAGGTGCTGATACTAGCAATTGTGTAATAGGAGACCATGCAAGAATATGGGGCAAGTGTTGCCAGATTTAATTGTCCTAGCCCAGAGTCAAAAAAATTGTAGAGCAGACCAGAGTACATGCTTCCATCGGTAGTTTGAAGTATACCGATCTGTAGCAAGTTCTGTGACTAGGTAGATATCTAACGATACACGGTATATTATCGACTGTACTGTAGCTCAAACAGTGCAGCGAGAAGAGCTCCTGAGAAGAAGATATACTGTTGAGCTGAGTAACCGTGTTTGAAGATCACTAACATTCTAGAGAACACAGAGGTCACCAACACCAATGAGAAGGCGGAAGAAGACAATGCTTGAAAATAACAAATTGATATCAAGATTCGTGCGTTCTAGGATCGATGTGTTGAAAGCTGACTGGAAATCAAAGAACCAGGTTATTTCCATAACCGTAAAAGAAGCACATTAGATTATTTTGTACATTATTTCAAAACGCGTTTAAGTTCAGACAATCGTTAAATTCAGAAGGGATAGTGAACAAAAACGGTGAATGCGATAATCCAAAATATTACTATTTGAAATAAACTTTTCTATTGTAATTTTGAATTGTTGAATAAAATTCAAGAATAAACGTATTACTCATTCATTGGTTGAAACCAGTTGCACTCGTCACTTGTGCTAGACCTGTATATGATATTGAATAAAATAATTCGTCGATACTACAAGATAACTGGAAGAGTTAACTAGTCCTTCAACATTTTTGCATAACAGATGAGATGCTTTCATTTCATCATAACATGAATTTCCTTAGAGAATGCATTCTCATGCATTTATGACACAACATTATATTATTTCAATTCAGAGTCTCACCGTTTTTCAGGTAAAAATCTCTTTACGAAGAGTGAAACACGAATCCCACAGACCTCCGAGTAGAAGAACACGTTGTAGGTCGGATTCAAGTACATGGTCGGATAAAAGCGTTTTGAAAACGATACATCCCAAAAGATTACAAGCCCTCCAGAATGAAAGGCAACCATCTAGCACTGAAGAACTCCTTAAGTTGGTCTTGGCCCAAGGGGAAGTAATAAGAAGGCAACTCAAGAAGTTAAGGTATAATATAATGTGATTATTCATTTTTTCGTTCATTCATCAATGTGTCTGTTTATTCATTCATTCAATAATTAACAAGAGCAGTGGACAAATTTATTATGCTCAGTGTAGTAGTACAAAGCAGTAGTGATAAAAGGGGCAAAAAGTTGCACTAAAATGAAGAATAATGCAGCTCTGATGTATGATTGGAATTGAACACATTGGTTTAAATATGGAAACAAGTTGAACATGTTCTCTACACTCAAGAGAAAAACTTTCTTTAGAGCAAGTTTCAACTTAAGCTACGACATACTTGTTTATCGAAACTGTCGAAAAAACAAAGTAACTTTATATTGTACTTACTGTAATATTCTAGAAATGCGGGTTCAGCTTAGGTTAAGCTGTGGAGACTTGAAAAGTTGATAAAAACTTCATGAAAGTTCGCACGTTCATACTGGGTACCCCTTCTGGAGGTTCTGCCTGGTCATTGACTATGACACATAGGGAGTGTTTTTGTATGGGTTCCTATTTGTAGATATTTTCATTCTTCACAGCACTATGTGGTGGTTCTCAAAGTTGAATTATTTGAATTCTGGTCATCAACTCCTTCTTTTATTTTCTATACATCATCATAACATATCTATGCATACCCCTCTACCTATGAATCCTATGTTCCGCCTGTTTGGAGGTTGTTTGAAGACTACTTCTGTATCTGTAGAGTAGGGAGGGTGAGTAAGCCCACAGCACTTAGGCCACATGTACATCATCCCGAGGTCATCGTCCATCCTGTCCTTTTCAGGAAGGTGGACAGGTGACTTGGAGATATCTCCTATATATCGGGAGGTGTAGGCCAAGACTCGCCGAACATACACTCTCTTATTGACGATAACTCCGGGAACTCGCATATGACATGCCTGACAGTTTCATCTTCCTGTTCACATATCCTGCATAGAGGCGTGTCCACTGCTCCACTGCGTAAATTTTTCCTGGTCATCGCCTGATATTTCTTCGGCGCCAGCGTTCCAGGGTCACCCAGGGTGATCCTGCAAGATTGCATCCTTTGAATCCATCCCATCTCTTTAAGGATTGACCATGAGTGTACCATTTGACTAGTTCTGCAATTGTCGATGTCATCCCGCCGTATCATCTACCGAGGCTTTGGCTAAATCTTGGTAGCACTCTAGTACTAGTCCTGAGGTAAGACGTTGTCTGTTCAAGGCTAATAGGGCTTGCCTGCTGTCAGTGCAGATTGTTATGTTTTTGCCAGAAATTTCCCAGTTAAGATGTGGGGACACGAAAAGTTGATAAAAACTTCATAAAAGTTCGCACATTCATACTGGGTATCCCCTCTGGAGATTCTGCATGGTCATTGAATATGACAAATAGGAAGTGTTGTTGTATGGGTTCCTATTAATAGATAATTTTCATTTTTTACAGCACGGTGTGGTGATTCTCAGGTTTGAATTATTTCAATCTTGACCACATAAACTCCTTCATTTATTTTCTATACATCAGCATAGCATACCTCTGCATTCCCGTCTACCTATTAATCCTATGTTCTGCCTGAGACTGTTTGAAGACTCCTTATTACTTTAAATTCTACTGTTCTACGTGAATTTCATCACAGATTATAGTGAAATGGAATCTATAATTTTTATGAGTCCTTTCGGATGACCTAGTGTCATATTAGCCCTTTGTTTGGTACTGAGGTAATCGATTGCTGCTTTTTTCGTTGCACAGATGTGAAATGGCTAAAGATTAGCAATACCTGTAAAACTACAATAACATCAATGGATTCGCAGGAAGTCGAACAATTGCCAAGTCGAACTTGGCTTTTGAAGATATTTTTTCCATATCTGCCACCAAGTTAATGAGACCCATAGCTTTGATCATCATTTAATATACTCCGCTTCACTACTTACAGAGGTTACCTGGTACATATTTGGGAAAAATATCATTAATGAGACTGTTTCTGAAGAGTTTAATTTGAAAGTGGAACTTCGAAGGCATGAATGGAACTGTCGCTGTTTAGACATAAATAATAACAAGTCATTTCCAATTATTATTTTGATTATTTCAACTCAGAAAGATTGTTGATGAACCAAATCACATACAGAACAATTCATTTTCAGATACAATAAAAAGTACTTTCCTTTTCAGGCATAGTGAACATCAGATAGGAAGCTTGGAAGACAAAACACACAGAGCTAGGGTCAGGAAACATGGAAGCAATTACTTATTGGAAACTTACCTGAAGGGACTATCAGAAGCTGTCGATCCAGAACAGGACGATACACTGGGTGCAGATAAAAATAGCGACAGTGGTGTCATGACCGAAGGAGATAGTGAACAGTCTAATAACAATAATCCAAAGTCATCTAGAACCACAGAGGTACGTGCGAAATGACAATGAGAATCTATCTTCAATATTTTTTCTCATCATCGGTAATGAAAGTCTAATTTGGTATCATTCAATTATTTAGAGAAATCCGTCAGAATTTTTAAAGCAATTAATTCTCCTGCTGTCAGTTAGTTGGATACTTATTAGCTAGTCAATATTCTTCAGTCTTACTCTCTTATATTGTTCTTGATATTTCATTCAGTTAAGAGAAATCCGCCAGAATTTTCCAAGCAATCAATTCTCCTGCTGTCAGTTAATTGAATTCCTCTTAGCTGGTCAATATTGTTCAGTCTTACTTTCTTATACAGGGCTTTTCATGATGAGCGTTAATTAGCCGTTTCTGGCAAACTATTCAACGGATCAACCTGAAAATTCCACAGTATGCATAACTCAATATGACCTACACGCCTAAAATATTTTAGACGAAGCGGCGTTGTCGCTTCTACTATAAAGTAGCGGCTTCTTTGATTTTTCAAATAGAACACCCCGTATATAATATCATATTATGATTCATTATCACTTGGTCAACGAATTCATATACTATTTCCATATACCTATCTATCACCGTTTAGAAGATATAAATTAATTTCGATATTTAATTTCGATATTTTTTTTACCAAACATAATTGGTTTATTTATTTTTCCGAAGCACACTATTAAAAAATATTAATGTGTACTGTTGTACGTTAGAGACCAATACCTCAATGTACACAAATTGTAACTTTTTCTAAGGTAAGTACATACCAATTTCGAATTGACTGATCTGAGACAGTTAAAAAACTGGATCAAAAAGAAATATTACTAAGTATAAAAAAAATCCAAAATAAGTGATGAATTCAAAAAAGTTTATCTCGAAAACGGTTCAAAATAGAAATAGTATTATCTGAACAAAGTTAATATAAAATTGGATGTAGAGCTCAAAAATGTTGAAATATACAGGGTGTTCCATTTGAAAAAATTGAGTTCCACTCATTTTTTCATGAGATCAAGGTATCTGCATATGAGGCAAATGAAAATATGACTCGGAGTGAAGATCCTCATAGTATCACTCCACTCCATTTCAAATTTGATAGTTTTAGTGCAAGAGAGTTCAAGATTATCAGCATTTATAAAAGTTAATGTTTGGTAAAAAAAATATCGAAATTAATTCATATCTTCAAACGGTAATAGATAGGTATAGGGAAATAGTATATGAATTTATTGACAAAATGATAATGAATAATAATATTATATTATATACGAGGTGTTCCTTTTGAAAAATCAAAGAAGCCGCTACTTTATAGTAGAAGCGACAACGCCGCTTCGTCTGAAATATTTTTAGGCGTGTAGGTCATATTGATTTATGCATACTGTGAAATTTTCAGGTTAATCCGTTAAATAGTTTTGTCAGAAACGGCTAATTAACGCTCATCATGAAAAGCCATGTATTGTTCTTGATATTTCATCCAGTTTGAAATAATTTTCAATGAATTTTTTTATGCTCCAGGCACACTTCGAGCGGTTTTCGCCATCTTCAGAAGAATTCGCCAAAGACATAAAAGATGATGACACCAGCTCTACGGTTAGTGAATCAACGATGAAAGAACAACTCGATCTTTACGAAAAAATATCCAAACTCAACAAACGCCTCTTGAGGGAGGAAGAGAGTTTAGTTAGGCTTGATTCTAATTTGAAAAAATATGACAAAGAAAAACTTGACAAGGATGATGTCAGTAAAACGTTAACAAAGCTCAGGACGGAGATGACCAAGAGTGCGTGCGAAATGCAGCACAACGAAATAGTTCTAGAAGAAACCATAGAGAAGTTGGAGAACAGGCGGTTATTTCTTGAAAATCTTCATAGAGATTTAGCGAGTGAAGATCAGGAATATGAAATGCTACAAACTTTACTGTTCAGTAAGACCCAACAGTATGAAAAAGAGAAAAAACATAAATCACATCATATTTACCGAACCAAAGAATTATTAGATACCCTCGTTTGACGAAGTTCACATCTTCAATACAGACATTTGACGATTTTTGATAGAAATGTCTCTCATCGATTTAATACCAAATATTGTGTACCTAATAGCTTTATTATTAACATTATCATTAGTGGATTTGAAATTGTGAAAAATTTGTTAGTTGTTGAGATTATTTGTAATATATTTTTTAATAATACACCAGAGTATGATGTGTTTTTATACAACACCAGATCATTAAAATAATTCAAGGTTCAGCGAAGGGGACAATGTTACAGTGCTGATGTGTGAAAAAATTCTTCTGTTGAATTTATTTCAAGTTTCTTTGTACAATTTGTTCTCTAAGAAGTTAAATATTCGCTGACAAATAATTAACAATATACTCATCCAAATTATTGTTTGATTTAGCATATTCTACAGATGGTTCGTATTATCACTAATCCATGGAATAATTGCTGATTTGAACGATCTGAATTACCAATTCCCAATCAGAAACGATTCTATTTCAAAAGGATAACGGTTTTTAAAAATTTCTCGTCAGCAAATTGAATAAATCAGTACGACCTGTGTATTTTCAAAGTCTCAAAAGAAAAAAATGTATTTCAAAGTGAAACAAATCCATCAATTCATTACACTATATGATTTGTCACGAAACTTCTCACGGAAGTTTTTATTTTGCCAAAAAATGTGATGTAATGTAATGTTTTTGGGTTTCTATTTCTTCATCTCTATACAAAAAATGTGAAAATTTCCTTTCTTTGGGAGATTACCACACTTTTTTGTATGAATATGAAGGAGAAGAAAGCCAAAACGTTTAATTTTTTCAAAAAATAAATATCTTCTTCTCAGGAAACCCTTCCATTTGGCACTCATATAATAGGAGTGCATAAAAAACTAGTTCGACATCTTGGGTTGTCCACCATCAAGGGCAGACTTAATAAAAGTTTGTAAATGTAAAAAAAATATATATTTTTGACATCTTCAGAAATTATTTTCCTGATTGTCAGTATTGACAAAAACCAATAAGTAGTTTCATGGACTCTCTAGTCCATCTCCGGCTGATTTATAAATGAAATTCTAATCAAATGAAAACACTATTTTAATCGAATGAAAACCTGTGAATAATAAGGACACACCTCAAGATTTTTTAAGATGATTTCTTTCAATCCCCAATTCAGATTAAATTTAAGGAAGGAGAGAGATGTCGGAACATAATATTTGTCCAATAAAAGTGAAAAAATTCAGCAATAATAATTTTTTCTTCATGTTTTGTTTTCCCTTCACTTGAAATGATAACTATTGAATCAGCTCACTCCCCTTATTCCCCAACTGAATATCATACAGCTCATTCAGCCTTCAACGAATTTTCCAAATGTATGTTGTATCTATCCAGCCTGAAAATTGACGAAAGTTTCATAAAAACTTTTACTCCACCCATCTTGAGGCATAGAGGGAAAAAGTACATTTTTTTTTCGTATGTTCTTGAATTTGTGCCAATCCCCGCTTACATATCACATTTCAGCATTCTGGCTCCAGAAGTGGGTGAGTAACTGACAACATTCATGTTTTATAGATAATAATAAGAATCAAAGTATAATAACTATGCATTGGAAACTTGGTATGTGTTTCGATTAGTCCTCTAATGACATCATATCCTGAGAGAAGTTCTATAGCATTATCCAGACCGAAAAATAGATGGCGCTCTGCTTCTGTTGATTTATTTAAAAGAAATAAATGTTGAATATACTCGTAAATAAGTTTTTTCCTAGATTAATTCAAATTCATGCTCAATCCTGTTTCAATTGAATACCCATCAACAAACGTCTCATAACGAAATTGATATATAAGGATATGCACGATATCAGCAACACTGGGCAGGCAATAATATCAATCAGAACATACTTATAATAATGTTCACCAATGCGACTCCTAAATGGGGGTTCCCCTGTTCCTAATGACGAATTATGTCCAATAAACAATTAAGATTTTAGGCTTCTTTAGTCGATAAACGCACAAAGCAGATTTTTCTTTGGCTTTCTCGTGATATCTGAAAGAGAAAAAAAAGTAAAAAGATCCTCAGAGGGCAGTTACTCATTATAAAAACTGTGGTTAATAATGTTCACATATAATATATACTTCCTAAATAAATCCTCCTATTTTTTGCAGCTGAAATTGCTTTGTTATTTTTTGTTTTGTAGTATTCATTCATTATTAAAGTTTGCAATTCAATAATGTGTTGATACTAATATCTGAAATTTTTGTGATATGAGTAGTTCTAGATGAGTGAGTATAAAAACACAATAGGATTTTGCGTTTGTACATCTACAATGAAAATTTGAATGGTGGAGGATACTGTAACAAACTACACCGCCTCATTATTGCGGGACCGTAGGCGTATGACTCGATCAATTATTTTATGATAGAGGGATTGCCGATGATGAGATGTACGTTTGGCCAGCAAGTTTCCACCATCTGTCTCCTATGGACCATTATGTATGGCGACATATTAAAAATATGGTGTATGCAAATCCTGCAACAAGAGAAATATCATCATAATAATGTAGGCTTTCATAGCTGGCGTCAATGTTTTGGTGGGTTTCGGGGGTTTTGCCGTAGACTTCTTCGATTACAATCTCTAAACGTTTCAACTGCAACTTCGGCAGTCATCTTGGGTGGCGTGGTCGAAATACTCTTCTTGGCGTATCAATTGCATTTGATACGTCAAGAATACGTCAAAAATACGTCTAGAAATATGTCAATAAACGAAGTTGAGATTCTGCTTATGAAATAACTATACTAATTATAGAGTTCGGATTATACTAATTATGAAGTTCTTTGTAGAAAATTGATTTCATTTTTTATTAAATGCTTTATATTAGCTTCACCTGTATGTTTGTATGTATGTTTGTAACTTTCCTTTTCATTTCATATCATTCAATAATATTTAAACAGGTGGTAAAAAAAAGATGGTTTTGTGCAGAACTCAAACACTGAGAATGCTGTAGTGGATTTCCTGGAGGAGACAGTCGGGGCCTTGGACAAATCGATGAAATGCGTTGCAGTATTCCTCGACCTTGCCAAGGCCTTTGACACAGTTTCTCATGAAATTTTACTCAATAAGCTGCACCATTACGGTATACGTGGTGTGTCGGCTGACCTTGTGACTGATTACCTAACAAGTAGAGTACAACAGGTAAAAGTTGGACAAGAAATAAGTAACGTTTCAAAAGTAAAAATCGGTGTACCACAGGGGACAGTATTAGGACCGATACTGTTCCTTGTTTACATGAATGATATTACAAGAATTAATGGATTTAAAGGACACTGTTTTTGTTATGCAGATGATACAGCCCTGATCTTCACAGGAGAAACTTGGGAGGAAGTAAAAGAAACTACTGAGACTGACTTGCAAAAAATACACGACTGGCTAAACTTAAACAAACTCACCCTGAATTTTGGGAAAACAAAATTTCTCACATTTACGCCAACAGTCACTACCCAACCAAAAAATATTCTGATACAATTACACATCACAAACTGTCATAATATCGATTGCACATGTTCCAGAGTAAAAAAAGTGGAAAAAATCAAATATTTAGGAGTAGTCTTAGATCAATGCACGCGCTGGTCAGATCACATCACAAATGTTAATAACCGTTTAAGAGTCTTGATGCATAGTTTTTATATCTTGAGAGACGTACTTACCAGAAGAAATCTCCTTTTACTTTACAATTCCCTAGCTGAATCTGTAATGACCTACTGTATTACAGCATGGGGTGGGGCCTTCAATACTACACTATTGAATCTATCATGTTAATTTTTCTACTAAATTTTTTCTCTACTCACTGCTTAGTTATAATCATAAAATGTACACTTTTTTAGAAAGTCTATAGATCTAGTACATGGCAGAACAGAAAAACATATCTAGGCCAAGTTACTGGATCTGAGACTTTTGAAAAACACGATATGTTACATGTAAATATATAAACTGTACTACAATATATCAATATCAATATAAGTAACAATATATATCGCGATCTGTATTTGACAGAATTATCGACAATTATCTATTCGCGGGCAGATGGCGCTGTACGTAACCTCCTTGATATAATTCGAACTCACTTTACATGTATTTCTTCTGCTGTCTTATTTGTAACCCTCCTTTGCGTGCCTACTGCCTTGGGCTTGGTAGCTGATTTTCAGACTCCCTCTCGGGAATCGGAAAATATCAATGGTCATTTTTTTAAACAATATACGGCGATAAAAAGGTAAAAATATGTTTTTTAAATAAGCCTTAAACAATAACGAACGGAAAATACTAGTATTATTGTGAAAAAGCGGCGGGCGTTTGATATACAAAAAATATGGCACAAAGCGGCCACGCTTCTTTCACAATAATACTAGTATTATTCGTTCGTTATTGTTTTAAGCTTATTTAAAAAAATATATATTTTTAACTTTTTAGTTCGATGTTCTTTAAAAGCGTGTTTTTTAGTTTTTTAAACTATATTTATAGAGTGATCGCTTTGACATTGTTGTAGAATAATATGTTTTGTACTACTTATCTCTCTTCTTAACTCAGGCATGGAAATTTTCAATCGATATATTATAACAAAGACACAAGGATTAGTCAATGAATATATTACTTATTACAGAAAATGAATGATTCAAATAATCATTTATGGTTATCATTTATGACAAGATTATTTTTGGTGGAAATATTCATATACAGATAAACACTGCAAACAAGTTGTGTTCACGCTTGTTTCAATTTCATTCTGATCACCAATCGTTTGATAATGAAATGTAGACATAAGAATATAACGGATATTGTGAAAATTAAGTACACAATAATATCTATCAAGAAATATTCGTAATAAGGCATATCCACCGATGCGACTCTCAGATGAGAACCTCCCCGGTTTCTGATCACGAATTCTGTCCAGTAAACAACTGAATCATTAGGTTTCATTGGTCGATCCATGAATAAAGCAGACCTTTCTCTGGCTTTCTCGCGATATCTGAAACAAAGGAACTTGCTATGGAGGAATATGAAAAAGTTAGTAGGATCACATTATTAGTCAAAATTACGAAATATGGAACAATTACATTTCAATTTCATCAGTTCGTACTTCCATTATCTAATATAATATAAATTGATTTGAAATCCCTGAAAAAAATAAAAGATCAATCGAAAATAACAATTTCATTAAAACAAAAACTGACATTACAAGGAAATAACATACAAGCTACAACCAGAAAATAAAAAGTTGAAATATTAATAAAAGCTGAAAATCAAAAATAAAAATTAAAATTGAAACATTCCAAAACAAGTTACGTCACGACGTTTCGATTGTCAGTATCCACAATCGTCTTCGACGATGTTATTCCCAGTTATCACCCGAAGATGATACTAACAATCGAAACGTCGTGACGTAACTTGGTTTGAAATCTTTTAATTTTAATTTTAATTTTTATTTTTCATTCTTGTTAATAATATTTTTTAATTTTCAGCTTTTATTAAAATTTACATTTTTTATTTTCTGGTTGTAGCTTGTATGTTATTTCCTTGTAATTTCAGTTTTTTGTTTTATTAAAATAAAATCTTTTATTTTTTTCAGTGATTTCAAATCAATTTATATTATATTAGACAATGGAAGTCCGAACTGATGAAATACACCACGAAACATTGTCAACCACCTACAAACAAAATACATTTCAACCTGAAATCAGAAGAAAATTTGTTTACGTTTGCAACTATATTTGGTGTGTAATGTGATTAACTAAACGTAATTGTAAGAATGAATTCAAATAGCGAAAAATAATTGAAAGGAAAGACAATAAGAAGTTGTAGACACAATTCCAACTGAATTCAGAAGATTTGAACTTCAAAACCAAAAATAAGCTCTCACTGTACCAAATACTTATCAAACATTCAATAAGTTCTGTTCAGTAAGAACTATCTTGCTCCTCAAAATAGCAATTAACTGCCGACATCATTGTTGGGAAATCTTTGACCACTGAGCCATTGCAAACTTTACAATACTCGCCGTTGACAGTTTTACCTATTTTGAAATAGTCAAAAAAAATTATCCCACGCGCATCCCAAAAAACCGATGTCATGACCTTGCCTGCAGATGGAACGGTCTGCGACTTCTTTGAAGCCGGTTCTCCATTTTGAGTCCACTGTTCTGATTGTTTTTATGTCTCGAGTGTAAAGTGATAGACCCATGTTTAATCCATGATTATTAAACGACTCGAGAATTCTGCGTTCTTGTAATGAAACTTCGCTAAACACTCAATTGAAACATCTTCAAGCGGCACCCATCTTGCACACAACTTTCTCATGTCCAAATGTTCAGATGATATACAATGAACCGCACTATTTGAAATGCCTACTAAGTCTGGTGGTAGTTCGCGCACTTTCAGTCGACGATCATTCAGTAGCGCTTTGTAGATTTTCTTCACCATTTCTGGAGTCGTCATCTCATTTGGTCGACCACTGAGAAGCTCATCTTGGCAGCTCGTACGGCCTCGTTTTAACACTGCAACTCAATATTTTACTATTGTAAACGAAGGAGCAGACTCACCCAGAGTAGAATCCAGTTCAGTTTTCATATTGGTTGAGCTGAGACCTTTCAAATGAACGTATTGTACCACATAACGATGACCAATTTTTTATATTTTCACAAAATCACCGAAAACATTCGCTAATAATGGCTGCCAAACAAATACTGAACAACGTAGCTTCTTCAAATTTGAAACATATTTTATAGATTGTGTATTTTCTAATACAGTTATATTTTCCAAACAACTAGCGTCATCTCTAGGTCAGGCCAAGTACTTCAAGTACTTCTGGGACTACCGTCATATTGAGATAATACATGAACGTTTATCGAAAGAGGCATCAATGATGACCCGAGAATCCACCAAATAGGTAACAATAAAACAGATCTGAGTAATTCACGTACCTTCGTCGACTGGAATTCATTTGGAATCACACATGTATGTGAGTACTACTTCGAAGACAAGGATTTTAACTGAACATTCGTGAGCATATATATTGGAATATAAGAGTAGTATCTGTTACTCATGAATCTAAGATAAATCAATGAAAAATATCACTTTTTCGAAATACCAGTGCAAAATCTAGGAATTTCTAGAAGAGTCTGGAATGTCTAGATATAACAGGAATGTTTGGGAACATCCTGTCACCAGCTTGTGAAGAACAACCCTCTGAACTTTTGCTAGTCAAGGGTTATCAAGATCCTTCCTTTCAAGGCCCAGTTTCGATTTTATGGGTAGAATAAACTGCACACGACATCTACGTAGAGTTTTCATAGCAGAATGAAACCATTATATATGATTTTGAAAGGAGAACATTGTATTCAAAATACTATATAATAATATATATTTCTGGAAGTATAAACAGTTTATAGATAGATAGATAGATAGATAGATAGATTTATTGATCTCTTCGAATCATTTACATGACATGAGATAAGTCTAATAACCGTGTTCGGTTGCAAATCAGGATAAAATTACAATACATCTTAATAAAAAACGAAAATACACCTAAAAATACTAACAATACAATAATACAATACATGTTTTTTAAAAGTTCGTACATGTAGAGTTGGGAATAAAAAAATAATCTAATAATTGGAAATAATAATTTATTCGTAACGGTCACACGTGTTACGTTCGCACGAAAAACAGTCGAAAACGCACGAAAAACGGTCACACGTGTAACAGTCACACGCAAAACGGTAACACGAAAAATGTTCGAAATTGCACGTAAACTGTCGCACGCAAAACGGTAGCACGAAAAACGACCGGAAAACTGTCGAAACCTGTGCAAAACAACGTAATTTGAAATGTCATTGTCGAATACTCAGCTTCTCCATTGCCCTCACGTTGAGTCCACAACGCGTATCTTTAACATGATAATGACAATTACATTCTACGAAAATAAAAAAATGCTGTCAAGTATAATGAATGAGTCAATTTCTTATAAAACTGATGCTGTAAATACCCATCATTCGCAATTACTTTCAATATCTTACGCTGGTGTAGAGGCTAAGGACAATGTCTACCACGCGGACGTCCTGGTTTCGATTCTCATGAGTATTAACTTTTTTTAATCATGTTAACTACTATATCTAGTCTACCGTGACGGCGTGTCTGTCTGCCTGAATTATTTATGTCCCCAGAAAATTCAAATCTCCCGCCACAATGATGCAGAAGCGTACGCTCTGATTATGCGTGACAGTTTGAGGACGCTACGTGACAATTTGGTACACTCTGATTGGTTCGCCGATTGGTGCGACACCACGTGACAATTTGGTTGACTGGATGGTCTGTATACCTTGCTGAGAAGCAACTTGGCTGGTGTGATGACGTCACTGTCTGCCTATACTGATGGGATTTTGGTGGGTCGCAATGAACCAAAAGTGATAGTCTCCTGCAATTGACCGGCTAATTTTGCTACCTTAGTAACCAGGGGAAATTTCGTATATTGTCTTGAACATCATCCAATTCAGCATATCTGTAATGCCTAACTTTGCGCAACTTAGATTGCTCCCCAACATCTATCCGTAATTGACTCAACACTGAAATGACTTTGTTGTCAGAAGATCCCAATGGAGTCCTCTTACGGTGACTGTGTAAATTTCTGTTTGCCACTGATGAATTGCCACTGAATATCCACCATGAAATACAATATTTTCAACAAGACGGCGCTGCTACCCATAATGCAGCAAAAGTAAGGGAATACTTAGATGCAATATTCCCAAGAAAATGGATCGGAAACAATGGTCCAATTGACTGGCCAGCTCGATCCCCAGATCTTACTCCTTCAGAGTAGTAACAACAAATAGGTCGCCAATTCGAGCATTTAATGTAGATTATTGCCATGCAGCTTTGATTTTCCCTATTGGTTTCATTTTTCATGATTAATAAATTATTTTTTCTGTTTGATTGTTGTCACTGATGATGGTGGTTATTTCAACTAAAACCTTGGATTGTGAATGTATCGCTTTAACAATATCTGTAATGACAAAGACAGGTCCGTATTTGAAAAAAAAGTTGATGGTAGCTCTGTTGGTTTCATTTTTCCCAAAAGTTCATGATAAAATAAATTATTTTTCTGTTTGATTGTTGTCACTGATGATGGTGGTTATTTCAACTGAAACCTTGGATTGTGAATTTATCGCTTCATCAATATCTGTAATAGAAAAGACAGGTCCGTATTTAAAAAAAAAGTTGATGGTAGCGATGTTGACAACGTTTTATCGAATATTTATTATTACATCGTCATAGTAACCTTCGAATACAATATTTTTCCCTTTTTTGATATTCTCCGAAATAACAATCCCATTCGAAAAAAACGAAAAACAGCATTTTTGGTTTTCCCCGTACAACTCGAGAAGGGCGAGAGTCCCCGTAAATTTTCTTCGACCATTGTATTGTTCCCGATGACGATTACCTTTTTTTTCCATTTAATCGTCTTCGTATCTGTTACGGTTTAGAATATAGCAATGTTACCACATGATAAAAAAAACGGCCTGTATCGTGAACATTCAGATGCTTTAGAGAGTCTAAGTAACATTAATTTCCAAAAAAAAATATTTTGGTATTCCATTTCTTGTACTCACTTGGAATTGTTCAAAAGATCATTCAGAGCTCTCAACAGCTTCTTCTCATCAATGTTTTTAAAAGGTATATTTATAGCATATCCTAAGTGTTCAGCATAGACTGCATTACTATTCTGATCAGCGAAAACTGGTAGTGTCAGAATAGGAACTCCATAACGGACTGCTTCCATAATACTACCAATACCAGCATGGGTTATAAACACCTTCAAATTAGGGTGAGCTAGAATGAAGATTGAAGTATGTATAAAATCATAAGTCATTACATAAGTCATATTATAAATACCCTGACCCATTACTTGATGAAAATTGATAACAACATCCATGATATCTATTTAGCTATCTATACTATACTAATATAAATGTGAAAGTTTGTAAGGCATGATGTATGTATGTATGTCTGTGACTCTTTCACGCCTAAACGGCGAGGTTTGATTTATATACTATTGGATAAATCAAACCTCGCAACACACGCTATACAAAACAAACATAACTTCCCCTCACCAGAGAACATAAAACTCATAAAACAAGTCAATGAGGGAAACCGCATGGACATTTGGGAAAATTTAAACATCCATAAATTTAACAGTCAACAATCACTTATCGAGGAACAAATACAAATCAAAACACAACAAGACCTAACATTCAATATATTAAACAAATCAATACACACTCGAATTTCACCAGTTCGGACTTCCATTGTCTACTATATAAAATGATTTGAAATCCCTGAAACAACTAAAAAAGAAGAATTGAAAATGAATAGCTGAAAATAACAATTATATTAACCAAAATAAACCTGAAATGAAATAATAGTGAAATAAAATACAATTTTCTTCGAAAGCTTCTGATAATTCATTTTCCATATTCCCCGTTCCACTATCACTGTCGTCATTTAAATCAATAATGAATTTATTTCCACCATTGATATGGAAGTGTCCAATATCCATATAGTCTTTTGAAACTAAAATTACTTTTTTAATCCTTTTATGCCAGTCTTCTTCGGTAATATTAGATACTTCTTCTTTAACTAGCTCTATCACCTTCTTATCAAATTCTGGAAAATTATTTTTACGCCTGATGCTTTGTTTCAATTTTCCCCAAATCATCTCGATGGCACAAAAATAGGGAAGAAGCCTCAATATGGTGTGTCCATACTTTTCAGCAATACTCTCAAGGGCATACACTTTTCCTGTTTTTGTCTGTAAAACTTCAAGTAGTTCGTTTTTGGTATATCTTCAAAATACAAATTGTTATCCATTAAAAAACTTTGTATTTCATCTTTCTTCGAATTGTTATTCGGTACTTTGATGAGCTGTCGCGAATGATAGGAAGCGTTGTCAAGAACTATTACACTATTCGCATCTAAATTTGGGATCAATGTGTTTTCAAACCATTCCTCAAAAATATTAGCTTCCATGTTCTTATGATAGTCAACATTGCAGTCCTCAAGTTTTTTTCCACATAATTTCAAAGAATTCGGAACCCATCCTTTACTTCCTCCGCAATGCACAATGATTAGTCGCGATCGTTTGTTTGCAGGCATGTTAGGCGTACACATTCTAGAACCATCAGTCCACCCTTTCGTAACTGTGTCGTGAGTATCATACCAAGTTTCGTCCAAATAGAAAATTTGCCGTTGTTCTTGTCTATATTTAGTTATTTGTTCTGAGTATTTGTTACGCAATTTCACTATTCTTCTGCTTTCCATAACTGCTTGACGTTTGTTTATCATTTTAAATCTAAATTCTAGTTTCTTTATCCAATTCAGAAGAGTTTTATCACAGAAGCTCACGTTATGGCCGGAAGTATTCAATTTCTCCCTTATGATTTCAATTATAGGAATCTCATTGCTTTTGTAACAGTCGTATATTGTTTTTTTTAATGATTTTATTAGATGAACATCTGAAGGTTTTGGTAATCCCGCATCAAATCGCGTCTTGCGTTCATAAGGTTTCTTTTTGACTATTTTGCATACACTTGAGAAAGGAATTTCGGTCAAATCTGATGTTGCTTGTAATAGTTTTTTTCCTCGAAACCAAACTTGATATGTAGATTCTTAAATACATTGAAACATTCTCTCTGTGTTTTAATATTCAAATGCATCCGAATCTTATTCACTGGTATCTTTTTTTCGCATTGTTCACCAGTGGTATTGGAATCACTACACAGGAAAAAGTCTGCGTTGTTATCACACTCGTTATTACTATTAGTACTTGTCCAAGGACGCCACATTTTTAACAAATACAAATTTTAAGTGATTATAACTTCACCAATATCGAATTTCAACACTCAAATCGCGATCAGTTCCTGAACTGAACATTGACGACACAACGGCGGTACTTATCGCTACATTCTGTTGGTCACCGTAACATTTTTTTAATGACTCTTCAGCCAATCATAAAACTCGGTTAGTAAAAATTACCCAATACGAACCGCCAATTCTTCAGTCCACGTGGACTAATTCGTTGCGGCATAATTCCTTTGTATTGGTTTTTTTGGCCTTTGACTTCGCCGACACCTTTAAGATTACTATATCAGTTACTTCGACTATACCGTAAGATTGTTTATTATAAATAGTTCTAAATAAAAGTCCTCGATAGCATATATCTACCTTTCATGTGGTAGCCACAATATGCGAAATACTGAGCCATGAATACAATTAAATTGGATCCTTTTTTTACAGTGCACATTTTAGAATACCTATGAAATTCTTATAAAAATTGATAAAATTGTCGTTTTAGGTATTCAATGTAGATACACTTTGTCTTCCACACCAAGTAATTTGGACGAATCGTTTGAAACTTATCGCAATGCAGTAAGCCATCACGAGTCGCGTCTACTGTGAGACGACCGATAACGATATGCGGGGGTAGAGGGGCGGTCTAAGCGATGAAGCGCCTCAGACACGTGAGGACAGACATCGTTTACGGTTGTGTCAGTTTTGCGGGTTTCTTTATAGGTAACATAATTCTATTCTCGAAACTATTTATTACTCAGTGCAGTTGGCATATTTTTTCAGTTACTGTATTTTTAAAGTAAAAATATCAATTACTAGCTATTACCTGCTCTTTTATAAACGTAAAGCCAAAGCTATGTCACCTAGAATCTTGAAATTTGCAGGTAGGTTCTTTGTATAGAGTAAATAGGCATCAAGAAAGAAAATCAGGAATTTCTACCCCCAAAAGGGAAAAATAGGAGTTCAAAGATTGTATTGAATTTCGTCAGTGTTGAAGTTGGAAACGTGAAGTTTTGGGTAAATTAAAAATATTGTAACTATTTTTTCAAAATTATCCATAATAATTATAGAATTTTCACGATGAATTTTATTTCACACGAGTTTCACTACATGGTAGCTTCATCAGGAACTGTAATGAAGCTATCTTGTAGCAGAGCGCTCATCTACTGTTATGAGACATTTAGAAGAGGGTTAAGAATAATTCTCAATTTTTACGAACGCGAGTGATTATAAATACTGCGGTTCAAGCTGGACTCCCTCAAAGTGAAATATGTCATTTAGATTACAATTATCAACACTTTCTACATAAAAAATTCAAAAGTTAAACCTCTACTCCAAAATACTCACCTAATACAGCTTGTTGTGGAAACCATTTCCCTAATTTAACATTTCTGGATAATCCGAAGAGTCTCTCATTATCCCACTTCCATAGAACCTGCACGTCTATATTTTTGAAGACATTGATGAAAATCTGCTTCACGTCACTTGTCATTTTTGAAACATTCAGGAACGTGCCCATACTGAAGTAAACCACTCCTTTAGTAGCATTATCCATGAAGTCTTGTAGACCTTGTGGCAATTTCTGCTCTGACTTCATATGAATTCCACCAATATTAATCATATTAGGAAAATATGGCATTGGCTGGGAGTAACTTTCATGGCCATTGAGAAAAAACAAGGAAACATTGTACGCAACGATACTCAGATCGGGACAGTGAGGAAAATGTTTTTTCATCAGTGCGTTCTGCTGAGGAATATGAACAATGTGAAAAGACAGATCTCGATAAACTATGGCAGCAGTATTCCAAAAACGTTCCCAAATATTCATGGGATATTGAAATCCCGCGTTGACATCAGGAACGTATGAAGGTGGCCATGGGTTGCCAATTGCTGAGTTGACCCATGCATTTGGTGCTCCTGCTGAGAATCCTATTACCGGGGCATTGAAATGACAGCCCAAACTCTTCAGCGCATCACTGTAGAGTTCTTCTAAAATAACCACGTCGAATGTTCCATTTGATTTGAGAAACTCCTTGAAAGCTGAATGTTCTATCGTTAAATTTGCCATTATGAAACCCAGTTCGATCAAAAATCTGTTGTTCTCGAATGGACTTTGGTTAACCAGATCGAATACGGATGTGCTATCATCATCTGAAAATATTTATTTCTGAGGTAATGATATGCTTTGAGAATTTTCGTTTTCAAATAAAGGAAAATGGGAAAAATATTGATGATTACACTTACACTCTATGAATTCAAAACATTAAGAAATAAACACTGTCGAGAACTTTCTTCATATCCTACTTTCAATTTCAATATATTTACTTGCTAGTAAAATCCAAAGATTTTGAAAATCGGAATGCAAAAGTTTGGAACCTCTTAAACTGTCTACCGAGTAATTTAATGAAAGTTTTCTGAAGACAGTCTTGGGTTTAAGTAATGGCCGATATGATCTAATATTATTTTCACGACCGGTGTCTAACAATTCATATACTGTTTTCGAATTTCTTAGCCGTAGACTGCAGGTTCGTTCCAACCAGCGTCAGAAACAGTTTCTGACAGTCAGGATTCTGCGCAGTAATGTGATTGCGTTCCAACGTGAGTTTCCAACCATTAGTAAACTATCAGTTTTCTGTTCCATCCAAGATTCAAACCTGTTCGAAATCTATCAGAATGGTTTGAGGATTATCTTCTAACCATCAATCTGACGCATGCGTATTCCGTATTACTGTTTCTGTTTTATGTTCATGCAACTCACAAACAACATAACCTGCAAAAATTGTTATAAAATAAATTATGTATTTGCTGGCGCAAGAAAAATTGGGAATTCTTTAAGTGAACCTATAATATGAACATCTTTAATTATACAAATTAATTATTGCGGTGACCTCCCAGTTCCATGTTGATAAGTAAATAGAATAGAGACATAAAATACTGCAACCTTCTTTTACTCTCCAGAAATACACTTGATTAGATTTATTTTTAAAGAATTGAAGGGGTTATATTTTTAGGAGTGACATTCGTTGTGGAATGTTTGAAATACAAACTGAGTAGAGAAACGTATCTTCTGTATAATTCGGTGTTCATATAGAAGTATTTGTTTCGAAAGAATTTTTTTTCTTTCGTGTAATTCAATGTTTATATGAAAGTAGCTGTTTCAGGAGGACATTCTTTCAGTTTGTGTCTGAAAGTTACTTCTTTGCATGATTTACACATCCATGTATAGAGTTACTTATTTTCAAATTGATTACTTCCTTCCTTTCTTTGGAAGATTCCCTCATCCCCTTTTTTTGTATTAAGATGGAGTAGTAGAAAGCCAAAAACTTTCTTTCCCAAATTATTTTTAAAGGTTATGTTGAAATTCCATGCCAAACTTCAGTTGAACTATCAGCTGTTCCAATCAGAAATTTCAAATTAATCAGAAACCAATATTTACCAGACATGCGCGTTGTCAACGATTTACAAACAGTTGGAAATCTGTTTGTGACTCAAGGTTGGAACGAACCTTGCATGATATTGATTCTGACAATTCGTATGTAACTGCGACATCAAAGGCGACACGGCAATGGCTGCAATACGCCGCCAACTGTGCATCACAACAAGGTAGTTCATTATTTGAATACAATTGGCCGAAACTTGATGAAAATCCATATTAAAACTAATTGAAACAGTTTATTGGATTTTACAAAAACCGCGACACGTGTTTCGCTATAAAATAGCTTCCTCAAACTATTGTGTAGGGAAACACGTGTCGCGGTTTTTGTAAAACCCTTCATTAAGAAAATTATACGATAAACTGTATTAATGAGAGTTAAGGTAATTCATTCCGTTCATCGCCGCATCCACGCAAAAAACACTGCTTCATCTGAGATTAACACTCATCTTGAGAAGATAAATTTGGCTTGAGTGTAATAATTATAATTTAGTACTACTTCGTTCAAAAAATTACCTAGATATCAATAAATTTCTATTTCCGTTCTACTTGCTCTAATAATATCAAAATTTGATTCAAGTAGAGTAAACAGGTTATATGCAAGAAAAAAAATAAATTTATATCCATTTATTTCTTCTTGAAAAATCATGTCCTAGTCTTGAACGAATAAATTATATGAAAACATTTCTTCAGAGTAATTTTATTTTGTTTTGAATATATGCATGAGTGAAATCAATCTTTGCATAATATTCAAACAAGTTTCGTTTTGTTAGTTATGGCAAATAAATTATAACTAATACAATATCCTTTCATTTTTTTAAAGAATAAACCGTTTCAAAGTAACATCATTAAACTTGCATATCATTTGAGCGCTAATGCGATGTCGAAGGCAATCCGAACCTGCTTCCTACATTTCTACAAATTTTTTTCTTTCCATTATTCATTTGGTTTCAGAAATTGGACAGGTTCGAATCGGTGTGAGTGGCGATCAGGTAACATTAACAAAACACCAAGAACTACTGTGATAGGAAACAAAACCAATATGATTTCCAGATGTTTGTGATAACAACAAACACAAATTGAATTCATGATCATTTTCTATTGGCAATAATGAACATGGACTCAGACGAAAAATAGTGAGAATAAAACCATCGTGAAAAAATCAGTCATTACAGAAGAATGTACTCAAAGAAGAAGAAAATAATTCAAGGTCCAGAATATGATTTATATTTTATGTTAACACCTTGTATGTTGTAACTAAGTAGTTGTTGTCAGGTGGATGGATGAAATATTACGTATGATGGAGGTTTAAGTTGTAAAAGAAACTGTGATTATTTCCATATTTGATCCCAAGCTCAGACTATCTACTATATCAAGTATAAAACAATGACCTTGTGGTGAGGCACGCTCTGCTATTTGGTCGTCAATATTTTGTCAATTTCAACCTGACAGAACACTTGCTAAATAAACTGATCGGCTTCGTTGAAAAACTCAAGACTTTTGGCTATCGCACTTTGCTAATTATGATGGCGTCTTGCAGAAATCATAGTCACCATCAGGATTCTGTAACCACATGTTGCATAACATGGTACTCGTACCAAATAGAACAGTAAAACATATTTCATTCGTGAAGTTTTTTCTTGAATATTTCAGACGATAATGACAGTAATGTGATAGTAATAAGCGGTGTTATCAAAAATATAATTATTTTTTTCACTAAATAATTTTCAGCTAATTATGGTAATTACCCTTCACATCACTACATCATTATACACTTTTCAGGGCATCGACTATTTCATTAACATTCTGAGAATATTCATTTGAAGGCTATTTAATGAGTCTAAATCAACACAGGATCAGATCTGTTCAGGTGTAATAAAAGGAAAACTCCAAAATGAATTCCAAAAAGTAATATAAACCTGTGAAGACTAATTATTGTGTAACTACTCGTATTCATAACTGTACCTATAAATGAAATTATTGATAATGAATACAATTCATTTATTTAGTTTTCTCTAATGGCTGAAGTTACCGAAAGTAGTTTAAAATCTGTTTAAAAAATTTGTTTAAAATCTGTTTTTCCGTTAACCAGCTGTGGCACCCCTACGAACGACAACCCTCAGAAGTCGAAACTTGTGCGAGCTAAGGGTTAACGAGGTCTTACCTTTTAACGTGTGATTCCTAACACGGGTTGGACGATAGCAAGTGAAAATCGATTGTTCAGACTAGGACTTGAACCACCGACCAACATGGCAGTCAATTCGAGTGAGTGAACAAAGCACCCACGTCGAACCGCCTGACTACGGACCGTTCAAAATCTAAAATTCCTTTCGAAAAGTCGTCTTCTTAAAAAATATATAGATCACGTCAAAATAATCTTATTTTCCAATGAATTGAAAGTACACTTCATGTAATTTTCTGCATTTCCGTTTGAGAATTGGGAAACAATATTTCACGCTCGGAGATACGATTGACCTCATAATTGGTCCCAGAAGACAAATTTTTTTGGTTAACTATAAAAATGTGGAGGTTGACTATGGTATGAAATGAGTCGAGTACGTTTCTGTGTTCTGTATATTTTTGAATCCAGTGATTTTGTTGAATTTTCTCTCAGAATTTTAAAAATATGTAAGAATGATGAAATTTTAATGTATTACATGGTCTGAAAAGTCTCGGGCCTAACACATAGATGGCGCTAGTCTTATTACATTCACCGCTTTCTCAGTTAGAACTAACCTTCAAATGGAAGCTGATGAAATTTAATGATATTCTAATTGTGACCCATTGTGCTGAAAGTGACACTACTTTTGTTATTTTCAAAACAGGGGATCTAAAACAATGTTGTGTTTTAATTTCACACTGCTACTTGATGCTATAAAACACCGTTCAAGCAAAGCAATAGCTTGAAAAGTGTTATGAAGAATTCGCTCCATTAGAAACAGCAAATAAACATTGTGGTCGCAGAGACCCCGATGATACAGAAAGCAGTGGGCGTCCAAATAACGCAGATACGCCAGAAAACACTAAAAAACGTTTTGATGCTCGAAAAGTGAAGTTTCGTGAGTTTCTGAGGAGTGTTTGGTCATGGTTAAACATAACAAACCGGAATTTTTGCGTCGATATGTGACAATGGATGAAACGTGGATGCATCGCTTCACTCCGAAATCAGGTGTAAAATCACCAGCAATTTTTCGAGCTGAATCTGAATAATGATATTGAATAAGTGGATCCGATTGAAATTTTAAATTATTTTTAGGGTAACTGCGAAATTTAATCCTCTTACAAAAACGATTTTTCCATTTACATTCAATGTTCTAGGAGACAAATCACTTACATAATATTGTGAACTCACCTATTTATATATGTAAAGCACTAAAATTGAGCTCATATTCTTCAACAGACCTCTATGATATGCAATATCGCATAATATAATAAATTATGGATTCCAACCAAAAAAGTGTACCAATGATGCCTTCTCTACAAAGTTTAAAATGATATCAACAATCGTGATCCAGCTACGCCAGTGTTCTATGGTTTGTCCAAAGTATTCGATATTGTAAATCATAGAATACTACTCAGAAAATTGTTCCAGTTTGACATTAAAGTAATAACTCATGAGTGGTTTGAATCATATCTTACCGGCAGAAGTCAAAATTTTAAACCGTCAGCTTTGTCATCCACTGCAACTAGTGTAAATAGTGGAGTCTTTCAGGAATCTATTCTTGGTCTTATCTTTTTTTGTATATAAATTATGTAACATAGCTGAATATAACAGATGATACCACTATACACTATACTGTGGCACAGGAATAATACTGCAAAATTCCGCAAAATAATATCATCGGATATTAAGAGTATCAAAGACTGTTGTCTTTCAATGTTACGAAAACTAATCCAATATTTTTTCGGGGCAGTATTGATAAAATTCCGATATATCTCAATGAAAGTATTATCAAAAACAAATTAAACACTGAATTCCTTGGAATTATCATAGATAATGACTCGAAATTTGATGACTACATCAAAGAGACGCTAAAAAACTTTTTTCGGATTCTTATGTACTCAGAATCACTTCTTGACTCTAGAGGTGATTCGCTGCGAACCAACCTAATTTTCCAGAGTCTAGTAGAGAATTGGGTTGGTTCGCAGCGAGAAACGTGTATTATTCATTGCTAGACTCTTATTTGAGATAAAGAATTCCGTTCTGTTCTAGAACCGACTTGAATTCTGTATCTGTGCTCCAAAAAATAAGTTATTCATTTAAAATGAAACAAGACTCCTGTAGGTCATCATTTTGCACAAATGAAATTTTGACAGTTCATGCCATTTTTATATTAGAAACGGCTTTCTTGATCAACAAACAAAGAGAAGAGTTTCCTCTGATCCCTGCTAACGATTCCACACGCCGGACTACGTATACCCACCTCAACATTTACTAAAAGTTCAGTGATTTACAGTGGCCTGAAAACATTTAATCACCTACCAAATAACGTTAAGAGACAAATTTTTCGACGACAAATTCCACTGAGATATTTCCTGAAGTAAGTTTACGTTAGATCCAAAGTCAGTGGGTCTATTCGACCATCCACTGCAACCCGCGAGGGTTTATTGTGGCTTATACCTATTCACACTCGACCAAATAAACCCAGCTTCTCAACGAAGCGGATTATTTTATATGGTGAGTGGTCTTTCAGGTCAGATGGTGAAAGTACGGCTCTGTCGAACTCTAAAAACCTGATTGGTTCCCCAGCGGGGCGGGTTCAAAGTATGTGCTCTGCTGTTTCATCATTTTCCAAACAGAGGCGACACACACTATCTTTCGACAGTCCGAGTCTCTGCATCTGATGATTCAAATGATACTGACCTATAAGAAGGCCTGTTAGACATCGTAGTTCATCCCTACTGTTGTCCAACAACTGTTTGGTATCAAGCTTCGAAGGGTGAATAAACGCCTTCGAGTGGGCCAATCCTGGAAGATTCTGTCAGAAGTCCATAAATCGTCTTGCCGTTCAGGTGTTCAATGTTTGTTTGGAAAAGCCTAAATCGATGCTAATGACAGATTCTGGCCTCATGAAGTTGCTTGTAGTTGCTCATTTGCAATGGAGTCAACAGCCTCATTGCCTTCCAGGCCGGTATGGCCAAGAATCCAAACCAGAGTCAATATGTTAAGTCTTCCTATCGAGGAGAGTCGGTTTTAGCAATTTGCTACCAATTTAGATGTTGCTCGGTAGGAGCCAAGATGTGTATGAGGTTGGATTCTTTCAATCTCTCCGCACACAATTCAATAGCGTAAATTTCTGCTTGAAATACAGTCGCATAGGTTCCTAAGCATGTTGATATCTCTGTCCTGGGTATACGACTGAAAACACCTGCACCAAAATCGGAAGGTGTTTTTGAGCCATCTGTGAACCAACAACTATCTGCTCTTAATATTTCCTTCTTCCGGAGGATCCAGTACTCTCTACTCGTAAACAGTACTTTATAAGGCAGTTCGAGTTGACAGTTGGAGGTATAAAGTCAGAGGTCACTTCCAGAATGCTGTGACTTCCAGTGTCAACTAACAGTCTCTGAAGTTGAAGTCAAACTGATTTGATAAGTTTCATTCAGCAACTGCATCATCTCACAGTATTCCTACAATATGTGCCTTCTAATCTGATTGTCCTGATTTTGAAATTCATATTTACATCTACCTTCTACAACTACTTCCTTGGATAATACCACGTTGGATATTGAATTATATCCGACAGACATTTACGAGTATGCAAGATACATTACAGAGGTTAGTCTTGCAAATGTTAATCTATCTTTTATGGGTTGCCTGTCCTTGTTCATCTTTCACTGCCTGAACCACTGTACATGCTGTTTTTCGCGAGTGCATTGGCTTGGGATGTGGGAGTAGAGCAAACCGGTCATCGAATGCCTGCTTCCACGTAGCCCCGATGGATAAGGGAATGACAAAATCACTTGAGATTCTGTTATTCCCTAACTGAATGGCATCCCAACGATGGCTTAATCCCAAGGTGTATGTGTCAGTGCCAAGAGGATGAATGACGCTGAGCCTATCAGCTGTTTCTACGGAACCTTCGAGATACCGGGCGCCCTCTCGTCGTAGCATCGCCTTGTTACGGTAATGCGGGGCTCTGCCGTGATTGACCTCCTTTCCATAGTTACTCGTTTGACTATTAGGGACAGAGTTAACTTAAAAATTATTTCGGACGCTGCGATGAGTCTACAGAGGAGATAGATGTCGAGCTTACGACTCCAACTGACCTCCCTGTAACATCAGATCAGGAGCGGGAGCTTCTCAACTCTTCAACTCCTGATCCAATAACTGAACCTGAAAAAAAAAGGTTTGGTGGTGCATCCTGGAAACGACTGAGTCGTCTCCCCAAGAGAGGGGTACCTTATGAAACCGCCTTGCACCAAATTCTTGAGCGGCGTACGCAAAATCTATCTGAGGTGGAAGAAAAAAATGAGCAGGTTAGCAAACGTTTGCGCTCAAGTGCTGATTCATCAAAACCAGAGGCGACAAAAGCCCTACACGGTTGAATCTAAGGCATCGTCAGTTGTAGCTGACGTGCAAAAACCCTCATATGGGAAGGTTGTCTCGGATATCAAAGTGGAAATCATGCACCTTGACTATTCGACTACCTCGTTGACGATGAAACAGCAGAGCATATTACTTTGTGTCTGCACAGCTGGAGACCGAATCAGGTTTTCAGAGTACGGCAGAGCCGTACTCTTACCATCTGACCTGAAAAACCACTCATCATACAAATTGCTCGGCTTCGTTAAGAAATTGGGTTCATTTGGTCGAGTGTGATTAGGTGTGAGCCACAATAAACCCTAGCGGGTTCCGGTGACGAGTCGAATAGACCCACTCACTTTGGACCTAACCTAACCTACATATACTGGTTTCTTGGCATGTAAATATATGTTTTCATTATTTTATCTCATTTTATTCTCATATATAGACTCAGTATATGCATTTATATATTTTTATTTCTTTATTTATGCATGCTCTGCAGAAGGATACATTTTTCTGACAATAAAGCTCATTCATATCATTATTTTTATAATAATATGTAATTTTCTCATCATTAAACCTACTCTATTAGTCGTACTATTTTCGAAATTCTCGTGCATTCAGACTCAAATTTCACTCACCCGGTTTGAAAAGTTCTATTCATACCTATTTTCAAGATTTCAAACCATTTTTCGACTAGTCCTTCCAGAAATATATTCCTGTATTTTCCATCGATCAGATTATTCTCTCTGTAGGAGCTTATTACAGTTACGTCGTTGCCGGCATCAACAAGACTTTTAGCTATTGCCATTCCTATGTTATAATGACTTTTTGCGGGAGTCGTAAATGTCATCAAAATTCTGTAACTACACACGACACACCATGTGACTTGTACCAAAGTGATAAATAATATATACTTCATCGTGAACTTCATTCTCTAGTATGTGTGAAAACAGTGATACAACTTAATAATTTTTGATACATGTTTCAGTGAGGTACCTGGTTATCGATGGAAAAATTTTAATATTTCGATAACATTCGCTATGTGGCTTCTAATTGCAAGTTCTCATTTGTTTGTTAGCAGTTTTCAATAATTACGTGAATAATCCTAAAAATTAAATGTTGTTCGAACCGGAAGTTTCACAAAAAACAACAAGAGTTTGTGAAAAAGTTCATCAATAGTAAATTGATGGATGTAGCCGTTACTATGTGGTAGGAGATCATGATGAAAAAAGAAATGAAAATTTCTGTTTTTAACCACTTTTATTTGTAACTAACGTTACTGCAGTTTCGTACTATATGGACTTGAACAAGTTTATTGTTTAAGTTTGAAAATGTCCATATAGGACGTTATAACGTTAGTTACAAATAAAAGTGGTAAAAAACATAGAAATTTTCATTTCTTTTTTCTTCATCAATAGTAATCAATTGGTATGAATAAAGTTGCCCCAAAGCCAATGTTCAATGATAACCAGAATCAGCGTTTGAACAAGAATCAAACACTACGAAAGACAATTTGTAATGGTAATATTTTGAAAGTGAAGTGAAATATCTGAAACAATCTAACTCAAATGATACTTTTTTCAAAGTCTACACTTATGAAGAAAACACCATTTCGGTGTCAGTCTATGCACCATATTTCCTACATACAGTGCAGCGGCTCGAAGAGTACTGGCAGGAATGAGCAAATTCCAAATCAGTCTCCAAGCCCAAAAAAATCTGAACCAACGTTGGAAAAATATACAGTGCCTTCATTTCAAAACATCCCACCCCTAGTACTTCGTTCAACAGAAAGAATTTGCCGTAGGCAAAAACACTCATTCATTTTCCTTTTGCCCTATTTTACGAGAACGGATCAACCAATTTCAGTTTTCTAAACGGGGTTGAGTGAGGATTTTTAAGATCTTCAAAATGATGTGTTACAAGATAGGGGGTGCCATTAAAAATTATTAGGTGGGGGTAGCTAGGGGTAAGGGGGTTAAACCTAAAATACCACTGGCACTGGTTTTAAACTTCCCCCTCGATAACTAAATTGACGTTTTTTTGCCTACGGCAAATTCTCCCTGCTAAACGAAGTACTCGGGGTGGGAAGTTTTGAAATGAAGGCACTGCATGTGATCTCACCACCGAATTTTTTTTCTCGTTGAAAAAACAAATCGACAAAAAAAGAAACCAATAAAAATGTTCCTGGTAGAGGAGTAATTTATTTTCATAGACAATAACTTTGTAGTTTGATGAAAGAATTCGAATTTTGAGGAAATTATAGTTTGTGGACTGGAAATGGAAGTAGCAAGTGAATGGAGATCTTTATTATGTGATAATGAAAAAATGTTGTCATTTTTTGAACAGTTTCAATTATCTTGCCCTGTTCTTTTGGGTCTTATTTAGTAATTCAAGTCTGACCCCTTCCTGTTTATAGATTGATCTGATATTGAGTACACACATTTAGTTTTGATGCAATACAATTTAATAATTGTGTATCATTGTAAATCCAAGATGGCCGCAGTTACAAAATGGCGGATTACATATTGTTCTACAACTACTCCAATATGGATATCAAATGACAGAGCTTGACTAGTACTATAGTAGTAGGCGTTAAGGTGGCTAAAAATGATAAGTCATTAGTGATAAACTACCCAAGTTGAGCTAAAAGGTTAAAATGTGTCGCGAACTGTGTGGCATATGGGTAGATAAAAATATGTCGTTAGCTTTCTCCCCTAAGACATCTTGTTGTATGTAATGCCTTGCTCCTCTATTAGACCTCTGGGGGGGGGTCGATCGTTATTAATATCTATTACTCATGAAAACAACATGGTAAGTAGGTAATAATAAAACCCAAACACAAACATAAAAAATAAAATACTTGACTGAAATTTTATGTTAAACGGTTTTATTGAATAAAAAGATAATAATGATGTAGATAATGTACTGAAAGCTAAAAGATAATTTGGAAGGTACTAGGTAGCAGTCATCACACCACTCTACTCAGCAATCTACGGTATACAGATAAAAAAATAATAAAATCGTTGGGCGTATTACTCACATATTTACTCAGGTTACGCTACACCCAATGATTTCATTATTTTTTCATCTGATCAATACCGTAGATTGCTGAGAAATGTGGTGTGATGACTGCTACCTAGAACCTTCCGAATAATTTTTCAGCTTTAAGTAGAATTTTGATTTTGTACCTGAATTCTGTAGGGTTTTTTATGCATTTAACTTTATTTGATAGGTGATTTAATGTTTTAGGCCATTGTAAATCACTGAACTTTTAGTAAATGTTGAGGTGGGTATGGGTATCTACATTATCTTTTTTTTTCAATAATATCGTTCAACATATTTTTTTAATTATTTTAGATAGTTTTTATTATCAGAAGCGAGTCCTTAAAATAGTCGACTTTTCGGTTTTTGGATAGCCGTATCTATGAAAGTAGACTGGCATTACATATTTCAACTGCAGACAAAGATATAAAAATCTAGGATTCTGTTAACTTTAAGAGAGGGTTAAGAATTTTTTTGTATAACCATCCTGTGTCATCAATTTGCCAGTTAGCCAAATATATGAACCACTTCAATGCAGCGGCAACTCTATGAATCATTTATGATTACAATCGTTACGGTCTACTTGCATAGAAATGTAAATACTTTGACTTTTAAAATGATAAAAATATAATTATTGCAAGAAATTTGAAATTCTGATTGTCTTGTCCCATTATGTACTACAGCTATTTCTATAAAAGAAAAAAAAAATATTGGTGGGACTGATTTACACTGGATTTGAATCGCTGGAGATTAAATCCATTTGGAAAAACGTACCCAGGAAGTTTATTCCACTCGAGCTCGAACTCCAGATGAAAGAGTTCTAAAACAGTAAAGTTAGAGGTGTACTGAGTTGAACCTCAAAACGATGAGCAGCCACAGTTCATCGCGTATTTCTCATATGTACCGCTCTTGGCGGAATGAAATATGCCAAAGCACTTGAACATTCCCCGTGAAAATATCCATAGAAGAGAGACAAATCTCCTACCTTTCTTCGATGTTACAGACTATCAAGGTTGCAAGTGATATTTGTGTCTCCAATCAGGCAGATAGCTCTTTTCTGGATGGAATCTAGTAGCTTCAGGGTATGCTTAGGGGCGGAGCTCCATCATACATGAGAACAATACTCCAAAGAAGGTCTGATCTAAGCTTTATGAAGCATCAAAATTTGCTGAGGTGTGTACAGTTTGCTGGTTCGGAACAGTGTTCCAAGCATTTGAGAAGCAGCCTTTGCAATTCCAGCGACATGATTGTACCAAGACATAATGGTGTCGATTTTCACTTCTAACAAACTTATCGAACCAGAAAGTGGAATTGTCTGATATTATTTTATCCGGTTCGGAGACATTTACCTTTTTGGAGAAAACCGATGCCTGGGTTTTTGTGGCATTGAGTTGAACTTGGTTAGTTTCACCCTAAATCGAAATTACTACTAGATCCTCATTAAGATATGCAACCTCCTGCTGCAGGTGCATCCGCAGCCGATGTCCTGGAATTGGAATTACAATGTCATCGATGACATGAATAGATCAAATTCATTCCGTGACATGAAGTCACAGTGAATTGTACATAAAAGAAACAATAAGACCGGCACCGCACATTGGGGCCAGTGTTGGCGCCAACTACGCTCGTCCAATGTGTGGATCGAGATTTATGGTGTTGGTGCTGTTGGCGCCAACGTTGGCTCGAACGTTGGGACAATTAACTTCGATAAAACGAATTACTTACCATTCACGTCATACTCCAATAGATTGCCTGATATTGGACAACTCAATATCAACAATAATTACTATATAACTACACCTACAGCAACAATCGCGCTGATAGAAAAGAATACTAGGAAAGAATTATCTACTCCACAGGCTACAACATCAAAAAAGCCAACCCAGTTGATCCAAGTACAAAAGTCATTACAGGATAAACCAAGAACGCGCCACGGCTCGGGTCACAAAAAATAAGTCTATATGATACCCATCAAACCTTTTTATTGCATCAATCGATTTTATTCAGTTTTACGAAAGTTACGTCTAAAGTAATCATGGATCCATTTATAAGAGAGTATCAAAATGAATTCGTTCAAGCACATCATATAAAAGAGGTCACAGATTTCAGTACATCTGATGAAAGGACTCAGCGACTTTAAAATTTTCCACACCAATATAAGAAGTATTGCCAAAAACGTAAATGAGCTTTTTATTTAACTAAATCAATTGGAAAGAAATTTTGAAATAATCGTATTGACGGAAACTTTCAAAGTCACTGATGCTAATATATATGGATTGAAAGGATTTGCCACACTCTATAATGAATCTTCATATAATAAAAATGATGGAGTGATAACATTCATAAAGAATTAACTCGATTATGATCAAACAAATATTAGTTTAAGTAACATGAAAATTCTAGAGCTCAAGATAAAATTCAATAACAAAAAGATATATATCGATCTCCGAGTTCATGTCCATATGATTGAATGAACACTTTTTCAACTATTTACAAACTGTTGATCCGAATGACATCCATGTAATAACTAACGATATAAACATAGATTTGTCATTAGAAAATGATTACATTGAAGATTATAAAAACAACTTGGAATATTTCGAATTCATTTCTTATATAAATGATATCACTAGACCAGATACCTCCACATATCTCGACCACTTCTTTGTAAAAACAAATATAGAAACACACGAGCGTATAAAGTCCTTTATCTTTCAAGAAAAAAAAAAACGACCACCGACCAATTGCTTTGACAATAGATATGGGCGAGAAAGTTGGCAACGAAACACCCAAAAATAAAAAAGTGTACATTAATTACAAAAGGTTGAAATTAGCGCTACAAACTGGAACATGGACCAACATCTATGAACAAAGTCATGTCCACTCAAAATGTGAATTAATTC